AAAAAAAGGAGCAAAAATATAAGACAAATTTGATATTTTAGTATGTAACATTCTTCCTTATATTGCTGTAATATAAGAGAAAGACTCATTATTAATTTTTGAATTTTATTTGAATTAAGCTATGTTATCAATAGAAAGTATTTACTGACATTTATTAAGTGCCACATCTTATCAGAAACAATTTGCTTTGAATGTCATCTTTAAACATTAGCTATGCATTTCTAATGAGAATCCTAAAAAGGTGGCAGCATTTAATTAACTTAAAACTTCTTCAAAATGTGGCTAAATGTATAGTTATCATATTTAAGGAAGCCAACTGGAAATGAAGATTTATTGATCTGTTATGGAATCATCATGTTGCAAAGACACATTCTAATTATAACTAGAGGATATAAAAACAAAACTACAAAACTGACCTTATGTTCTGACAGTTTTTCTTCTGCTTCATGATTGGAAGAAGTTTTCAACAAAGAAAACTCAGACAATTTCTTTTCTGCATCATTCATCAATTCAATAACCTCTTCTCTTGCTTTCTGGTAATCTTGCCATTGAGCTGTACATCTTGAAAGAGTCCAACAGAAATCAATAGGCAACATGAAATCATATATTTCTACACAGAACTCTGGTGTCAATATTTCTAATGACACTTGAGAAGAATGAATTTACATGCTAATGAGTATCATTAGTAAATTACTATTTTCTCTGTGAAAATTCATTTCACTGAAATACAAAGCATAAAACAACTCTAAATACCTCTGCAAAAGATCTAGCTGGGCATGAGAGTCCCGGATTATTTTCTGGCTTCTCTCTTCTAGAGAAGCCATTTTCTGTGCTAGCTCTTCTTTGCCAGTTGGCTTGATGAGTGGGTCCAGGTTGGCTACCAGGCCTTGGAGCTCCTCCAGATTCCTGCGGAACTGATCCTCTGTACTGAAAAATTCCATGTGGCTTTTGAGATTTTCCTCTGCACTCTCCACATCTAGGCCATTGCCCGCCAGCTGTAACATTTCTTGGGCATCCTCAAGCCAGTCATTAGCTGCTTGAAATACTTGATAATACCTTTGACACTGACTATATACTTCAGTCAAAGTAGCCTGAAAAACAGTCATTGCAAACATAATCAACTCTCAACTGCAACATGTTTGCAGGACATAATTTCATTTTTCCATTTCTTTTCCAGTCCTCAGTACCATGGATGTTTGTGCATATAATAAGTGAATTGATAAGTTGGTGGAATTTTTTGTAGTACAATCTATTATTGTCCTTTATTTTTCTCATTATAATTTTATTATTGCAGTAAAAATAAACAAAGAAAGACAGAAATGAAATAGAAATTTACATTGGTATCTTGACTCGTTCAGAAGCTTTCCTCTCTTTCTAAAGAAAAAAATATGTTCAGTAATGTGTGGCAGACTTAATTGTTTACCAAAATACAGCAATGCCTCAGTTGGTTAGAAGTATAACAAGAACAGACTTCCAAACTGGCATTCACTAGACCAAATAGCAATTTCTGGAAGTGAAAC